AAAAAAAAAAAAAAAAAAGAAAGACTGTTCAGCGCGCTTCTTCCACCTTTCTTTCGTTTATTTTTATTTTTTTGAGACAGTTTCACTATGTCGCCCTCGGTAGAATGCTGTGGTGTCACAGCTCACAGCAACCTCCAACTCTTGGGCTTAAGCGATTCTCTGGCCTCAGCCTCCCAAGTAGTTGGGACTGCAGGCACCTGCCACAATGTCCAGCTAACCACCTTTCTTTGTAATCACTCAGGCTTCAGTAGAAGTTGAGAGCCAGTGGAACCCTCTCTTGGTCCTTTTCTCCTTCCTTTTGGACCCCTTTATATATCTTCCTCAGTTATTCCTCCAAACTCTGAGAGCCAGTGGGACTGCCATGATACTCAGTCTGAGAATTCCTTATTTATAGGCCCAAACTTCTGCCCTCTCATCCCTCTGGGTCTACATGCTCCCATGCGGACCCTCTGCCTCTTTATCTACCTAGGACAGTCTTGAGGGGGTGTCAGTGTGAGTTGGAGCATAGGTTGGGGCGGACCCCTGCTGAAGTTCCTGATAATCCAATGCTTGTCAAATCCCTGCTTTCCGGCCCCTCTCCAGCCAGTGCCTCAGAAAGTGGCATCCATGTCTCTAAGGCAGGTGTGTGTGTGTTTGAGAGAGAGAGAAAAGAAAGAGACAGACACACACATACCATGTTACTGTGTGGGAGAGTGAGTTCTCTGAGTGAAAAAGTCTGTAGTTGTGGTTTTCTTTGCTAGAGATCAAGTAACCGCCCTGAGGGCTAGAGTAGTCTGGAAAAGCAGGGTCATTACCCTGGGCTGTATGCACATCACCCTTTCTTCTTGTTTATGGGATCCCTTGCTTGGTCTGGTGTGCTGGTGCTAAGAAGCTGCCAGCCGGCCTGTGTGGGATGTGTAAGTGAGGCTACCAAGGAGCCCCTCTGGCCTCCCTTCCCTTCATGTTGAGTCAGAGGAGTCAGAGGTCCTGACCTGCTGAATCTGGTGTTTCTCCCTGCTGGGTTAGCCTCTGGGGTGGGGGTGGGTGGGGGTAGAGGGGTGGGGACATGGCCGGTAATGCTTCTCTATTAATGGCAGTATGGGACAACAGATCAGGGTTGTGGCCATGGAAAACCTGAGACCTAGGTGTGAGAGACCCTCTGTTAAAGTGCATTCCCAAATCCAGACAACTCACGTGTTCTCACTTCTGTTTTCCACTTTCCCTGCTTGGAAAGGAAGAAGATGGGTGTCATTTTGTCCTGGGTTGAGATAGTTGCAGTATCCAGGTGCTTGCCCTTGGCCATTCTCTGCCTTCTCCCTAGCTCCTCTTTGTTGGTATAAGATTTTCCTGGACCCCAGGAGCTCTAGAGGGCCGCTGCCCACCCTCCAGGACCCCACTCACCTCTCTAAATCCTTAACTCTAAAAATGCACCTGACAAAATAAATATTCCTTTTTTTTTTTTTTTTTTTTGCAGTTTTTGGCCAGGGCTGGGTTTGAACCTGCCACCTCTGGCATATGGGGCTGGCGGCATACTCCTTTGAGCCACAGGCGCCACCCTAAAATAAATATTCTATTCTTGCCAGTTTTCACTGACCAAGCTGGGATGGGACCCAAAGTCCTCCCCTGCTGGTGCCTCGGCCTTTACATTTCACTGGAGGAAAAATTGGGGTCCAAGAAACAGCAGTCAGTAGTTAGGTGATCAGGTTAGGTCATTCCCATCTTCCAATCAAGCTAAGCCAAAAAAAAAAAAAAAAAAAAGATGGTAAGGAAGAGGGGGAGGTGTGCAAATATATCTGGGTGTTCTGCATTGCTCCCTCCCTACTCAATTTTTCTAACTTTGTCCATTCTCTATTCAGTTTTCTACAACTTTTCTCTAGGAAAATAAGTGTGAATGTGCTTGCATTTGGAAAGTTCCACTGGGGGAGATTTCATTTAATTTTGTTCACTTCAGAAGGCTTCCATTTCTTTAACTAGTTAAATATTAAATATTTATTTTGGCTAGGGTGGAGGGGAAGGGGCAGTGCCCTGCTGTGCTGAGGTCTGGAGTGTGTATATGAGTGTGTGTGTGTGGGAGGGGGGGTTGGGGAAGGAAGAGGGTAGAAGGTGGAGCTGAAGCTCCTTTATTGTCAGTGCTGACCTCTGATTTCATCTGAGAGAGCAGTGACCAGGAGTGAGGACAAGAGGGTGAAGTCCTTGAGTTGGAATACTGACCCGTGACAGGCAGAGTGATTTCGCAAGTGCCTCTGTGGCTTGTGGGGGCGGAGCTGGAGCTGGAGCTGTCAGACGTGCAGCGGGAGGACCAACCCAGCCCAGCTGTGGTCTGAGGGTTCCGTCTTCATTCAGTGGCACCATTGGTGTCCAGTGCACAGTGAAGTAACAATCCCCCATTCTTTCCTTTCCATGACTCGGAGGGGACAACCTTCCTTCTGTCTCAGCTTCCAGTCTCTTGGCCAGTCTGAATATCACAGCTTCCTCCCTTCTGGGAGGTGAATGAGAGGCAGGGAGCCTAGAAAAGATGGCCCTGGTCATCCTGTGGGCACTCATTGCTGCATCCTAGGACTGCCAGGTGTTGTGCCAGACCCATGTGTCTCTGAGCCTTTAGGGCGGTTTCAGTGCCTCTCCTAGCTCTAAGCAGCTGCTGCCCTCCCCAGTCTTCCTGCCCAGACCATTCCCTCTCCCCTCTGGGTATCCAAATGACTATTACCACCCTGTCCCTTTCGCTTTCAGTGGAGGAAGTGGGTAGGAGATAGCAGCTCTTTCCTTAGATGAGGGGCTATGGATGTTTCCCTGCAGACTAGTATTTTATTTTCTGGATGATCATTTATTAGGAATAGCTCTT